TAACTCATTTAACCCTCAGAACTACCTGTGAATACTCTGGAAACACTCTTGCCATTTTACAGATGGGATAACTGAGGCCCTGAAGAAGCCCAGACGTTCACAGCTGGAAAGTGGTGGAGCCAAGATTTGAACCCATGGGTTCAATAGCCCACGCTCTGCCAACTGCCCACACTGATGGTGGAGCAAGGAACAAACAGGGTGGCCCGAGAGGGGACATGCTGTGTCTCCCGGCACACAGGAAGGGCTCCATAAACACCAGCTGCTTCCCTGCCCTCTGTGAGTGATCAGGCTTCTTCCTGAGCCTGTCTGTCCTAAAATAACCTCCTTCAGATACGACGGGCAGGAGGGACCCTACCCACAGGGCAGGAGCCAGGAGACTTGCGCCCCGATCGCTCGTGCGGATGATGGGGAGACGTACAATAACCCCTCTCAGCTTGCCCTGTCACTGTCCCCATTTTCCTGCTGAGCAGGCTGAGGCCTGGAGAGGTGAAACGCAGCGTGTCTGAGGTTGCACGGCCAGAAACGGGCAAGAGACGATGCGAGGCTTGCTTCCTCCAACTCAGAGCTGCGCTGTAGTCTCATCTGCCAAATGTGGTGCTCACTGGTCATGTAACCCTAGGCAAGTCTCCTTCCCTCCCTGGGCCTCAGTTTCCCCATCTGCAGAAGGAAAGGGCTGGACTAGAAACGCCCCTCGACTCAGCTGTTCAGTGAGCGAGGACATCCGGGCCGACTGGGACCTCACAGGCTCTTGGTCTCTCTGTCCATTTCCGGACGAGGACCCCGGTTCCAGGCGAGGAACTTGCCCTTCCCAGCCGGGAAATCAGTGTGGCCATGGCTGGGCCACGTGGATGTTTTAAAGGAGACTCCTGACCTGGGCCTCCAAAACCGCCACCGCTGTGCCCAATGGTCAAGAATGGGGCAGAGGTGGCTGCCAGGTCAGCGGGGTCGAAGTTCAGGGACGTGACGGTGAGACGGCAGATGGAAGTGGGCTCCAGCAGGACAGAGAGGCCAGAGCCGCCCAGGGACCCCATTCCCCCTGCAGCGGCCTCCTCTGACCCCACAGTGGTCAGGAGCAGTGGGAAAGGCTCCGTCGTCCGGCCAGAGAGTGGGGTTCACATACTGTCTGCCTGGCTGTGTAGCTCCCTCCCTGAAACGCCCCCTGCCCAGAACATGCCATGCCCCAGCCAGTGAGCTCTCTCCAGGCCCCACAGAGAGAAGAGAAGACGCCTTCAGTGGCTCAGCATGCCACCAGAACCACACCTGTCCTTTGGACCTGTCCTCGTCCTGAGGTATCGCTCGTCTGCTGAAGGCTTGAAGTCATTTTCCGTCACCCCCATCCCGCTCTCTCCTCAGGGACCTCGGTGGCTCCCCCATCAGCACTGAAGTGGCCTCAATCTACCTGGTCTTTGAAAAAAGACAACCCTCCCAGGAGCCTTCTAGGGTTGCTCCATCACTCTCCACCCTTCCTGACAAACCATCTGGAAAGATGCCGTCTCTCTCCTCAGCCCACCATCATCTGGCTTCTGCCCTGTCCACCCTTGAAACTATCTGGCCAGAGTCACCAGCTGTCACTCCTAATCCACTGGACCTGAACCCGGGCTCCTTTCACCTGACTCCCCATGCGCTGAGAGCCCACACACTCCCGCCCGGCCTTCATCTTTTGCTGTCCATCCCGAAGGCTCCAGCCAGACTCCCTTCCTTCCCCTCCATCCTTTCCCTCATCACCCATGAGCTCTGGGGGGACGACTCTGAGCTTCAGGTTGACTCAGCACGGTCGCTTGGACGTCCCAGAGCCCCCAGACACCCCCCACGGACACACCCTCTCTTCTCTGAAAACCTCCTCTGAAGGCCCGTGTCCTGTCTCAATGATCCTCCATCTACCCAGGCAGCCAAGTGAGAAACCTCGGGCCCCCTCAGACCTCTCGCTCTCTTCCCCGCTCCAATCCAGCCCATGTCCTGCGGCGACGGCCTCCAAAGTCTCCCCCAAATCCGCCTATGTCCCTCTCCATCCCCGGCAGCCTCTGCCTCCAGGCCTCACCCCCTCCCCTGACGGCTGCACACGGGTTTTCTGAGCTCTTCATCTCTCCTCTTGCCCCCTCAAACCTAGCCCCTCCTGCTGCAGCAAGAGCAGTCCCTCTAAATTGCACGTCAGCTTGTTCCTGCCTGCGCTCAATCAACAAGAATTCCGTCAACAGTTGCTGCACATCAGGGATTGAAGGGAGGAACCAAGGTCCTCGTCATCAGAGCTTATGGCCTGGCCGGGGGAAGGCACATGCAACAAAGGAAGATACAATCCTGCTCCTACAGGCCCTGGTGGACAGCCTGGCCCCCACCCTCAGGGATAAGTCCAAACCCCAGCTCCCTGCTCCTCGCCACCGGCTTCCAGTTCCTCTGGGACACAACAGCTACTGGACTCTCCCTTTCATCTTCACCTGGCTAACTCCTTCTGTCCTCCAGGGCCAGGTGAAGTGTCCCTTCCTCCAGGAGACCCACCTGCCCTGGGTTAAGTCTGGGTTGAGGCCCCTCCTCTGTGCTCCAGGTAGCTCTTGCCGTCTGTGCTAACCGCTGGTTACCTGTCTCTCCCCATGAGATGGGGAGCTCAGGATGGGCAGCCCGGGGGCCTTGATCCTCCCTGTGTCCCTAGCACCTTGCTCCACACCAGGAACGCTCAAAAAACATTTGCCAAATCAATGAACTGATGAAAGAATGAATGAGTGGATGAATGAATGAATGCCTGCCTTGTCAAGGTATTCATTAGCAAGAGTTTAAACTTGGGAAAACAGTAGCCAAGGGCCTGAGCCAGGCCACACCCACCCGTCCCAACCCATCCTGTCTCAACCTACCCCCCAGAGGAGGGAGGAGGGAGAGGGGCTCCAGCCAAATAGGAGGAGCCTGAATAGGATGGGCCCAAGAGACCTTTTCTCCCTATAAAGGCCTCTGGCATTCTGGGGGTGCGGGGACAGGACGTGATTAAGCAGCATACTAATCGGTGTCAGAGGGTCTCCTTCGTCAGGACAGCGTGCCTGCTGCCACCAGCTCCCTTCCTGAGGGCTGAACTCAGCCAACAGGCCTCACCTAACAGGCTAGCTGGGGGGGTGGCCGGGGAGCCGGGCTGGATGCCGGCGCACCCTCCACCCAGTAGGAGGGCCCGTCAAGCCCCAGTGTGCACAGCTCTGGGACAGAGCAGGTGTGACAGAAGGTCATGGGATGCCCAAGCCTGAACCAACTCCACAGGCAATCTGGCCCCACGCTGTGCTCTGGGAGCCACTTGGTCCCCTACAGATATTAAGGAAAGGTTTGGGGTTGTCCAGTGCTCCCCAAATGTGGCTTCTCCCCAGGAGCCCAATTTCCTCATCAGGAGCCTGCCCCATGCCCTGGGGGCAGATCTTCCAGAGTGAAGCGACCTGGGATCTGACCTTGCCCTTGTGCACTCTCACACGTGCACAGTCAAAATTTGGGGAAGGGAGAAAGGATTTGTCACAGCCTCTGATATATGGAGGAGCCAGTTCGGTTTGCACTAAGAGAGGTGTAGGGAAGAGGGGAGGGGAGCTTCTAAGTGATCAGAGGTCTGGGGTGCCTGGACCCTCCAATCTGAGTGATGCTGGAGAAGGCATGTGCTTTCCTGGAGCAGTGGGATCCCAGGGGCTGCCTGCCTCCGAGTGTGAGCCTGCTGGAGAGAGCTCCTGTTGGGCGACTCAACAGGATGCGGGAGCATCGTGCCCAGCACAGGGTTGACACGGAGCAAGTGCTCCACGAACCACAGGGCTGCTTTGTGCCACTGCCTGCAATGGAGGCGCACAGGTGACGGCTGAATCAGATCTCCCTCTCAGTCTCCCAGCCCCTGGCCTCGGGCTTCCACCAACACGTGCCTCACTGCGAAAGTCTCCAGCCTGAAAGCAGCGACAGGAAGACCAGTTCTTTCCAACGTCAACCTCCCTGCAGGTCCCCAGGACAGGTGGGCAGCGGCACGTCCCCACAGTGGCTGTAACTTTGTTTCCACTGCAGAGGCCAGACCGCAAAGCCACAGGAGCACCCTGCCCTCAACCCCACTCACCGGCCTCCGTGGAGGGGCCCCTGTGTGGGTGCTTCCCCGGCCAGGCAAGGGCTGGCGCACAGGGGCCGCCAACAGTTTCAAGTGTCCCTCTAGGGCATGGCTTCCCGCTTTGCCGCCCATAAAGGGTTTGCACAATTTCCTTGGACCCCCTGCCCGTGCACATCCCTGCCTATGAGGAACCCAGCCCAAGGTCACCTTGGGGACAGGCCCTGCCTGACCACACCATCCCTCCTGGCACGAGAACACTGCAGCATTCTCTGACAAAGGCAGGTTCCCCACCCCAGAGATCCTGATTTAGCAGGTCTGGAGTGGGGCCCAGGAATCTATATGTTCAACAAGCTCCTCCTGGGTGGCTGTGGGAACCACAGGCGAGGACTCCAAACCGGGAGCATCAGATGGTCCCGAGACACTGGGCCTCGTGAGCACCCCCACCATGGGCCACGGCCAGTGTGCCTGCTAGCCCGTGTGCAGAGCCGCTGCCGGGCCACTCACCCGGTTGGCCGTGACGGCCAGGTTCTGGAGGTTCTGCAGGAGGCCAATGTCGGCGGGGAGGAAGGTCAGGTTGTTGTGGCTGAGGTCCAGGTAGCGCAGCTTGCGGCAGTAGAAGAGCTGGGTGGGGATCTTCTCGATCTTGTTGCGGTTCAGGTAGAGGCGCTCGAGGTTGGTGAGGTTGCCGATCTGGATGGGGATGTAGGCGATGTGGTTGTACCACAGCTTAAGGCAGGTGAGGCGGTGCAGGTGCTGGAAGCTGATGATCTCCTCGATGGTCTTGAGGTTATTGTCCTTGAGGTCGATCTCCTGCAGGTTGTGGAGGCTGAAGATGGAGTGGGGGATGCGCTCCAGGTCGCAGCGGATCAGCTCCAGCTCCGTCAGGTTCACCATCTTCTTGAGGCTGTTGAGCACGATGAGCTTGGTGCCCTCGTTGTTGATGGACAGCTTCTGCAGGTGCACGCCCACGTCCGTGACCACCTGCGGCAGCTTGCTCAGGTTGCTCTTGAGCCGGAGCACCTTCAGGCGCTTGAGCTCTCGCAGCCCGTCGATGACGATGTAGCGGTTGTTCTCTGCGCTCAGGTTGCCCGTCAGGTGCAGCTCCTCCAGCGTCTTCAGGCTGTAGATCCACAGCGGTATCTCCTTGATGTCTGTGAACTTGATGTGCAGCGCCCGCAGGTTCTCACGCAGGAAGGCCAGCGCGGGCGCCTCGATCTTGGCCGCTGTGTGGTACAGCCACAGCTCCTTGAGGCCCGTGAGCTGGGCGATGCTGGGCGGGATGGTCACGTCCGGGATCAGCTCCAGCTTCAGAACCTCCAGCTCGACCAGGTCGAACACGGTGTCGGGGATGCCACTAAGCATGAACAGGTGCAGCTCCAGCTTGTCCTGCGCATTCTTGGTGAGCCGCTGCCGCAGCTTGTCCAGCGTCCACTCGTTGTTGAGGTTCAGCTGCCGCAGCTTGTTCTCGCTCACCTCTGACAGGAAGACGGCGAAGCGCTTCGAGTAGAGCGGGTCATACTGGTCGATGAGGTGGAGCATGAAGGCAAAGTCATTCTTGACGTCGGGGATGTCGCTGTAGCTGCTCTCCTCGCGGATGGACTCGAACGAGTACTTCTTCAGTGAGCGCCGCAGCATCCACCACAGCGTGTACATGCAGATGAGGCCGTAGAAGATGACCAGGCTGATGTAGAAGGAGGCCAGGATCTTGAAGAGCGTGGCCAGGGGGTGGGCACACCGGTAGGTGCGGTAGCCCGTCAGGCTCTCGATGTCCACGGTGCAGTCCACGTCGAACTTGATGTTGTGCACGTAGTAGACGGTGTAGCAGATGATGAGGATGAACTTGATCACCTTGATGATGGTCTGCCGCATGTAGAGGCGGTACACGATGTCCCCCTCCTCCACGTGGGTCCGAAACTTCTTCACCTTCTCAAATAGCGCCTTGGCCTGCTCTCCCTCCTTCTTGTCCAGCACGCCCGTCTCCGAGCGGTCCACGATGCCCTGCTCGATCCGAGACTTGGTCCGCTGCAGCATGGGCACAGTGGCCTCCACGTCCTCACTGACCGTCGATGACTTCTTATCCATGGAGCCGTTCATCTTGCTGAAGGCCGGCTTGGGGTCGCTCTCCTCCACCACCGTCTCCGACAGGGCCCGTGTGGTCCAGGGAGAGTCAAAGCACTTAAGCAGGATAGACACGAAGTGCTCCAGCTTCGAGCTGGTGCGCGGGAACTTGAACCAGAAGTTGCTGCAGGCCAGGAAGATGAGCGTGTGCAGGAGCACCAGGTAGGGGAAGTACTTGGCGAACCAGTGCAGGCGGTTCTCGTAGCACACGGCGTCCACATAGTTGTACTGGTGCCGGTCCAGGTCATACTTGATGCCCGTGGGGCCTGTGTCTGGGGCCGGCAGGACCGTGGAGTTGGGATAGGTGGGCTCTGGGCCAGGGGCCGCCCAGCCCCGGAACGAGTCGTTGCAGGAGTCTTTGGTGACCCACTTACAAGGCAGGCAGATCATCTTGTCCTGGGTGACCTGCAGTGTGCCCCCAAAGACGGCGATCATCAGCATGACGATGGAGATGTAGTCGGTGAACACGTCCCACCACGGCTTCAGGATCCGGTACGCTGGCTGCGTGTCCGCAAAGTAGCGGAGCTCTGTCACCGGAATCATGGTTCAACCTGAAAGGGACCCACAGGAGGGGTTACCGCAGGGTGGCTGGCTTTCTGGGATCCAGGGGTCAGGGGAAGGAGACAATTGACCTATCGTCCAAAATTCCACCTTGAGTCTAGCTGGGAGTCACAGCTTTGCCACTCACGGGGTGGTCCATGGATCGGCCTTTCTCCAGAAAGCAAGTGGTCACTGGGAGGCTGGGAAACCAGCCCAGGGGAAGGCAGGCAGCCTCCCCACTTAAGGAACAGGAAGACCAAGCACTGAGGTCAGGGCCCATGCTGACAGATGCTCCTGCAGCCTCACAGGGGCGCCCCCTGCATTCCAGCAAGAGCATTCAGAATTCCTCTCTAGACCCCATCCTACTAACGACCAGACTGACCAGAGGGGCTTGTTGAAAGCTCCCAGCTCACTTGGAACCAGCGGCCCTGAAGCGGCATCAGTGACCTGAAGAGATTTATGCGAAGTCTGAGAAAAGCCAAATGCGGAAGAGGGGGCTTAATATGCACTCACTCTTGTAAAGCAAGTAGGGAAGTTTTAAAAATTGTACATGTGTGCATGTGGTTATGTCCATATAGGATTCTGGGAGCTCCTGGCGGAAACCGGAAGGACACACACACAGCAGGTGTAATGACAGGCTCCTTGGCAGAGAAGGGACAAGAAAATCAGACATGTCTCCACCCCAAGCTGGATGACGTGATCACACTCATGGATTTACGTAAAATCATCTCTGGCTGTGTGCATCTGTGTGGGTGTATAAAGAAACTAAAAAACAGGGCCGGCACAGTAGTATAGTGGTTAAGTTCACGCACTCAGCTTTGGCGGCCCAGGGTTTGCGAGTTCGGATTCTGGACGCAGACTTATGCGTGGCTCATCAAGCCATGCTGTGGCAGCCTCCCTTGTACAAAATAGAAGGAGATGGGCACAGATGTTAGCTCACAGATCTTCCTCAAAAAAACAAAAAAAACCCAAAAAAACCAGCAGGAGATTCTCCCCAAGGGTCTAACTCGGCAGGTCTCAGGTAGAGCCTGGGAATCTCACTTTTAGCACATGACTTCGGTGACACGAATGATTGGCCACGTTTGGAAAACACTGGATAAGAAGCCACATTCAGGAACTCCAGCCAGTGACACACAGAGGGTGTGCCATAAAAGAATCGTGCGGAAGGAATCCCGTCCTGGGATCGTCCCATCCATAACCACCCTGCCACAATACGTCGCTTATAACAAATGGTCTGTGAGACTGTAACGAGATAAAAAAGGTACTGGATGTTCCCTGGAGAACACTGGGAAAATATAAAAAAGCATAAGGACAAAAAAAGAACTTCCTATAAAAACATGGGCCTGGGTTACCCACTGCTGACTTTACAAGGAGTGATAATCTCCCAGTTGTTTCTGCGTCTATTTTTTAAAATAAAATTGTGATTTTACTTTACTCCCTATTTTTTTTTTTTGTGAGGAAGATCAGCCCTGAGCTAACAACCATGCCAATCCTCCTCTTTTTGCTGAGGAAGACCGGCCCTGAGCTAACATCTGTGCCCATCTTCCTCCACTTTATGTGGGACTCCGCCACAGCATGGCCTGACAAGCGGTGTGTCGGTGTGCACCCGGGATCCGAACCCGGGCCGCCAGCAGCGGAGCCCGCGCACTTAACCGCTAAGCCACGGGGCCGGCCCCTACTCCCTATTTCCTTTTTTTTAATTAAAAAAAAATTTTTTTTTTTTGAGGAAGATCAGCCCTGAGCTAACATCCATGCTAATCCTCCTCTTTTTGCTAAGGAAAACTGGCTCTGAGCTAACATCTATTGCCAATCTTCCTCCTTTTTTTTATCCCTAAAGCCCCAGTAGATAGCTGCATGTCATAGTTGCGCATCCTTCTAGTTGCTGTATGTGGGACGTGGCCTCAGCGTGGCCGGAGAAGCAGTGCGTCGGTGCGCACCCGGGATCCAAACCCAGGTTGCCAGTAGCAGAGCGTGCGCACTTAACCGCTAAGCCATGGGGCCGGCCCCTAATTTTATTTTTTATTTTATTTTTTTTTGTGAGGAAGATCAGCCCTGAACTAACATCCATTCCAATCCTCCTCTTTGTGCTGAGGGAGACCAGCTCTGAGCTAACATCTATTGCCAATCCTCCTCCTCTTTTTCCCCAAAGCCCCAGTAGATAGTTCCATGTCGTAGTTGCACATCCTTCTAGTTTCTGTATGTGGGACGCGGCCTCAGCATGGCCGGAGAAGCAGTGTGTCGGTGCGTGCCTGCGATCCGAACCCGGGCTGCCAGTAGCGGAGCACGCACACTTAACCACTAAGCCACGGGGCCGGCCCCTACTCCCTATTTTCTAATCTAGGATCTACATTTTATTCTATTTTATTTATTTATTTATTTTTTACTGAGGAAGATTGGCCCTGAGCTAACATCCGTGCCCATCTTCCTCTACTTCATATTTGGGACACCTGCCACAGCATGGCTTGATAAGCAGTGCGTAGGTCCGCGCCCGGGATCCGAACCTGTGAACCCCAGGCCACCGAAGTGGAGCACAGGAACTTAATCACTATGCCACCAGGCTGGCCCCTAGAATCTACATTTTAAACCAAAGTTTAAATACCTGTGTTTTGACAAATGGGTCTGTTCTCTTGGGAGAGGAACAAAGGGGCCCAGGTTATGAGACTGGGCCACCTCACTCTGATTACTGGTAATATTAATAACAACCATGGTAACGAACCCTTGATAAAACAGGGCCTCCCTACAAACGCCAATGCTTCCTGGGCCGTCTTTCCAGGGCATGCTGGCATGGGTGGGGAGGACAGGAGGAAAGCAGGGACAGGACTCCGCAAGGGAACTGGGGCACTTAGATGGACATGTGCCAGGCACTGGGCCAGTCCTTAGCATGGAATCTGCCTCATGGAATCCCCTGGATGCCCAGATGCAGGGCCTATTTTGGCCCCATTCCACAGATGGGGGAACTAGGGCTGAGGAAGGTGAAGTCACCTGCCCAGCATCCCTCTACCACCCAGGGCAGAGCCAGGACCAAACCCAGGCCTGACCTTCCACCTCCCCACTCGGGTCCTCACCACTGCTCAGGCTCACCGTCCACCTGCCCGAGGCCCCACACACGGGTGCTGCCAAGAGATGGAGCCCAGAGTCCAGCTTCCCTGCCTCCCGGGGTTCCCAGAGCTCAGGTCACCACAGGGCCAGCAGACACCACCACCCGCCCTGGGCCGGCGGCTCCAGCCCAGGGGTCAGCCCTCCTGGTGAGGCCAGGACTCAAAGGCCGGGGGAGTGCCCACCTCACAGGAAGGCCCGGGCCCTCTAATGACCAGCTGGCTCCTCACACCACCCACACTCCTGGGAAAGTGGCACTCCAGAGGAGGGCCTGCTGAATCACGCAGCCGGCCTCCAGCTGAAAGACACCCGGACACTCAGCCCTCCCTTCCTGGCGCCCCGAGTCCACATCCAGGCAGGCGCCCAAAGATTGGGGACCGGAAAGGAGCGGGGGCCAAGACAGAGGGCCCGAGGGCATGCAACAGCCTGCCCCGGAGAGCCCAGAAGGAGACTGCCATGGCAGGATGCCAGACACGGGGGGTGGGGGCAGTTTATGACCAGGCAGGATGTGGTTGCCACCTCACTGATTTGGAGGGAGTGGGTGTGTCAACCCACTGGAGAGCACCCCGCCTCTCAGCAGGAGCCGCGCCTTGGCCCCTGCCATCCCGGGGCTCTGCCTGTGTGCCTTCTCCATTCCTCCTGCGTCTGAGGTGGGAAACAGCTCCCTTACAGGTGAGGGAACTTGAGGCTCAGAGGGTAGGAAACAGCCAGTCCACTCTGGTATGATGGCTCTTACTGCCCCCATGCCCCTACTCCTGGTCTCAACTCTCCGTCCAGCCCTTGGCTAGGTCATCTGGGGGCAATAAAAGTGACCAACGTGTGTCCCCCGCCTCAGGGGCCTCTGGGCCCAGTGTGAGCATGTGGGCAGTGTGTGAGAGACAGAGGACGGCCTGAACAACTGGAGCCTGTGTCAGGGCAGGGGGCAGCCATGGCTACAGCAGGAGAGACGGACGCCACCTTCCCACTGAGAACGGCTTCATGGAGGGGACAGTCCTGTACCTGTCCCAGAGGCTCCCTCCTGGCACCACCTCAGCTCAGGGCTGTTCCCATCCCGCCACGCAGAGGTGGCCACGGAGGTCCAGAGGGGCAGAGCTAGGGCCCAGGTCACAGAGCTTAAAAGCGCAGGACCCGTGTGGGTGACCTGTCTGAGGGTGTCACCCTCTAGTTACACCCGTTTCTGCCTCACCTCTGCCACCAACTCGCTGTGAGACTCTGGACAAGTCACTGCCCCTCTCTGATGGGGTTTTGAGGGGAATCTAGAAAGCAGGTGCAGGCACCAAACCCCGGGCTTTAGTCCCCAGGGGTGCCACAGAAGAGGAGACGGCCAGGTGGCCAGAGCATGGGGCAGCCCCCTCTCGAGGGGCTCTTGCTGAGGGTGAGGAGGGAAGCCAGTGGCCAATAAGCCGGAGACCTAGGTGCAGGCCTGGGCTCAGCCGCCTGTGGCTTGGCCTCGCTGCAGAGCCTTGGGAAAGGTCCTCACTGGCTTTTGGCCTCAGGTTCTTCACCAATACAACGGGCACGATACCTCACAGGGCTGCTGGGAAGAGTCCATGGAATTCACGCTTTCAAAGCGCTTAGCGCAGAGTGGGGCAAGCAGGAAGGTTTGGCTGGTGTCATCTAGCCTCGGTCTCCTCGTCACCTGGGCGAGGTCAGATGCTCCTTGAGGACAGGAGTCTTCGGCACACAGTAGGTGCTCAGTAAATTCAGAGGGTGCCTGCGAGGGGGCCAGGGCAGGAGCGGGGCGCAGGGAAGGGCACAGGCCTTGGGTGTGGCAGGGAGGCGGGGCAGCAGTGAGCTTCGGGTGGATGTGGGTGGATGTGGGCTGGGCCGCGGGGGCAGAGGGCGGAAGCAGAGGCCGCGGCTCTGGGCCCTCCCTGCTCCTGCCCAACCCTAAGGCCCCGGGGAAGGAGACGGA